GTATGTGTGTACGTATGTATATATGTATGTATGTGTGTACGTGTGTATGTATGTATGTGTGTATGTATGTATGTATGTATTGATGTATGTACGTATGTATGTATGTATGTATGTATGGACGTATGTATGTATGTATGTATGTATGGATGTATGTACGTATGGATGTATGTATGTATGGATGTATGTACGTATGTATGTATGTATGTATGGATGTATGTACGTATGGATGTATGTACGTATGGATGTATGTATGGATGTATGTATGTATGTGTGTACGTATGGATGTATGTATGTATGTATGTATGTGTGTACGTATGTATGTGTGTACGTATGTATGTATGTATGTATGTATGTATGTGTGTACGTATGTATGTATGTATGTACGTATGTATGTACGTATGGATGTATGTATGTATGTGTGTACGTATGTGTGTACGTATGGATGTATGTACGTATGGATGTATGCACGTATGTGTGTACGTATGTACGTACGTACGTATGTACGTACGTACGTATGTATGTGTACATATGTATGTATGTATGTATGTATGTATGTATGTACTTTAGCAGGCTTTCCACTATTTTAGCCAAAATGTTTAGGACATCATGGCTATACATTTTGAGATTTGTATTTTTTTTTGGTTGTTGAAAACTCAAATCTTTGAATTTTTATTAGCTTTTAGCTAACGTTGAGCTAATATTAGCTATTGTTTTGATCATTTTAGCTTGTAGCTACTATCTGTTAGTTTTAGCTTTAAGCTACTGTTGTGATTTTGAGTTTAAGTACAGTTTTGCTAATTTTGTCTTCTTGCTTTTGTTTACTAATTTACGTTTTTAGTTACTGTTTTGTGAGTTTTAACTGTTCTGGTAATTTTAGTWAACAAACTTCTTCTGCTGCTGTTCTGTGGGTTCTAGCTTTCACTTTAGCTGATTCTAGCATTTAGCTAGAGGTTTTAGCTGCTGTTTATTCTGGTTCTGCTAGTTTTAGCTGCTGTTTTATTTGCCTAACTTTTATTTTCGCCAGTTTTGGCTTTTTTTTTTACTAATTCTGATTTTGACTTTCAGTAAATGGTTTTTACTAATGTTACTTTTGGGGAAGTTTAATATTTATTTTTTAATTTTGCTCTTTTGAGCATTTAGCTACCTTTCTCTTGGCTTTAGCTGTTAGATTTTGTTCCGGTTGTAGTTTTTAGCCAATTTTACTGCTGTTAGTTGTTTTTTTATTTTTGTTTTGAATCTTGTATATACACGCATGTTCACAACTGCTCACAAACAGGTGTTCTGATCCGGGGGGTTCTGACTGGTCACTGAGTGTGTATATAAGTGTGTATATATGTCTGTGTGTGTATACTGACAATATTTATGAATGTAGGCATGTATGTATGTATATCTT